ATACCTTACATCTTTCTCGTATTTCCTATATCTTTTATATTGTTGTTACTTTGTTATTTTATGGTATTTATGTTATGTTATGGATTTTATGGTATTTTATGTTATTTTATTATGAGTCTATTGATAGTACTAATATAGTGTCTCTTGTTGCCTCTTTGAGCCGAGGGTCTCCTGGAAACAGCCTCTCTGCCCCTCGGGGTAGAGGTAAGGTCTGCGTACATATTACCCTCCTCAGACCCCACTTGTGGGATTACACTGGGTTGTTGTTGTTTTTGTTGTTGTTGTTGTTGTATACACAAAATTACAGAGAAGTGCAATCTTACTATACAATAATTATACATTTTTTATATAGATCTGTACACAAAAAATTACAGAGAATTGCAATCTTATAAGTAGAAATCATACCTTGTTGTAGATGATCTATCCACTATAAATTGACATTTTTCTCGTATTGTGTAATGCTTCATTACACTAATGAGTGTATCTTTGTCCCAATACAACTGACCTTCTGCAATTTCTTCATGTTGTGGATTGTCTATTATACAATCTCCCTTCAATATCTCAATTTTGTCTTCCTTTGCATGATTATCCATCATCTCAACAATATTAGTTCCGTGTACTTTTTCTACGTTCTGACATTGTAAACCAACTGAAGTTGTTGCGAGTAAGTTTCCAGCTGAAGTTGTTGCGAGTAAGTTGCCACCGAAGTATGAACTTGAATATGAGCATTCAGCACTTGAATACACAGTTTTCAATGTTATGCATAATGGATATTCAGTGATATCCAGGTTTTTCTTTTTCATCTCCATATACAAGCACGCACTCATATCATTGTATATTGGAATTGCTATATAGCCATCCTTCACTGTATATTTTATCTTTATTGCACTCGTAATTGAATCTCTACCCAATTGCTTGTATATGTCATCAACAAAATAATCATAGCTACAGTCCGAATTGATCAACACACCATTAACAAGGAAATTAACAAATTTACTCTCACTTACCCATTTACCACTGTGTTGAAGTAAAATCGGAATCAAAGTTGGAACGGTAGTTCCAGCATTCACAATCTCCATAGACATTAGTTGATTTTGTCGATTTTGTATCAATTTCACAATTTAAGAATGAAATCTCAACTCTATTAAGTTGATTGTAGGCAGCAATTGTGCAAAAACTTTGGATTTCAGCGTGAATTTTTGGGAGCTTTTCTCTGAGTTTAATCTTCAGAAACCCTAGAATTTTTTTCACAATGTGAATAATTGGGCGACTTTTATAGTGTTTGGAGGTTGAAGATCCCATACTGAACGCGTGAATTTATGATACAAAATCGATTAGGACTGTTTTCCTTTTCGTTTGCGTTGAGGGTATAGTTTCAGTTTTTTCAATTGCTAGCGTTTGTTATTGTTTTGAGGCTATTACTTGTAAGGGGTTATTTTGTGACTATCAGATGATATAAGTTTGGCCCTAGTGGCTACAAATTAAATGAAGTTTTCTCATTATAATTTTCTATGTATAATATTTCATGAGATTTTTACATTTCTATACACTATATGAAACTATATTATTCTCCCTACTCAAGTTTTACTATAATTATATTTTATATACCCAATTACCATTTATGTATATTTTAAGGGAATTAATGATAATAATTAGTGTCTTAAAATCACTCTAACATATCTTTCACTCCCCCATGTTTCTCTCTCCACATCACATCCCATCCCCCTCCCCCACGTATCTTGCACCCACCCACGATTTTACCATTGACAACCATTAAAAAGATTTGAAGCTTTGAATTCAAATTTGGGTCTTCAAAAAATATTATTTGTTTGAATTGGATGTTGTTGCAAAAAATTGAGAATTCTCTCTATGTCTCTCTCTATCTCTCAATCCCTAATTCCACTAACGTAAAGCAAAGGAAAAGAGAGCAGCAATTTTACCATTGATAGCCATTAAAAAGCTTTGAAGCTTTGAATTCGAATTTGGGTTTCCAAAAATCATTATTTGTTTAGATTGGGTGTTGTTGAAAATAATTGGGAATATGGTTTGGAGTTTATATCTCAATTTTGAGGGGTTTTAGTGAAGATTAGACTTGGTTTTGGCTGAATTTCAGATTGAAACTCGAAGAAGAAGAAGAAGAAGAAGAAGACGAAGACGACATGATATACATTATATTTACTAAATTGTAGAAAAATTATATTCTGTTATTTATATATTTTCTTTTATTTATTTAACTATTGTATGAAAGTTGAACAACATTGTATTAAAATTATATTTATGTTGTATAATATTGTAGTTGTATATAACTGAGTAGAAATAATGTATGAAAATTATAGATAAGTTGTATAATATATAATTAGTTGTATCAAATTTATTTTTACTATGTATTAATCAGATACAAAATATACAAAAGACATATTGTATAAATTTTGTATAAAATTTGTATTTAAGTTGTATGTTATTGTAGCTGTATTTAACTGGGTAGAAATAATGTGTGAAAGTTGTAGATAAGTTGTAAATGAGTTGTATTGAACAAACAAACTTCAAAGCCATTGTGGATAGTGGGACATCCTTTACATTTCTCCCAGATGTAATTTACGATAGAGTCGTTAAAGAGGTAGGCTTACAACTATTTGCTGCTTATTGTACTTTATAGTACTATATTTTTACATGTCCTTTTCCGGTCATTTTTCGGTTACAATTTGACAGGGAAGTGAATGCTACAATGCTACAAATGTGTATTTGAACCTAGACAGTTCTAAAGGGTTACCAAAGATTCCTTCATTTACTCTGAAGTTCATGACGAACATCACTGTTATAGTCCAGGATCCTGTATTTGTGATTTATGGCAGTCAGGTAAGTTCTTGAATATACTCCATCTATTTTTTAGCTCAGAGATGAACTTTTTGGTTCTTTTGATTACGTGTAAATCTGTGGTGCGTCCTATTTTATTTTTCCTGGTTTTTTTTTTTATCATGCCACCTTTTGGTCCTTCACTTCCAATTAATTTTGAACTAATTCAATATCGTTATGTAGGGTGCTGTTGGATTTTGTTTAGCTGTGGAGCCTTCGGGCATAGATATCGGAATGATTGGACGCAAGCCTGACTCTCTTCCCCATGTAGTTTCTTCCTTCTGTATGCAACTATAATAATTTCCACCTGCAAAGGAAGGGGGTGAAACTGTAATGCAAAAGTGATATTGCAATTTCCTCTCTCAATTTTTGGAAGTGCTAACAATCATTTTCCTGTACAGAGAACTTCATGACGGGATATCGGCTGGTGTTTGATAGAGAAAACCTGAAACTGGGTTGGTCACTCTCTAACTGTGAGTACCAATATCTTATCAATAATTGTTTTGGTTTGCTCAGGATTTAACTATAACTACTTTCTTGTCTATACCCGCGAGTGATTAACTTAAATGCTATTACTCGTATTTTGTTACTTCACTCCTAAAAACCTATTCTTGTGTATTGAGAAGTTGAACTGCAATTTTTTACACTATTGATTGAAGGCACAAATAATGGATTGGGAGCCTTTTAAGGTGGATTGTATATATTTCGTAAACAAAACTTGTTTATGCCGGGTAATTAACTAAACATGAATATTAAGGGTAATAAAGTTTCAAATAGTGTATAGGAATGAAAAAAATCACATATTTCATTCGTTACCTAATAGTTCGAAGCAAGAAAATCAATTTCTATATGTACAGTAACCAAATAAACCCGCAAAAAGCATTTCTAGAATAATTATGAGAGTGTATTAAATGAAAGGAAAAATGTCATTGTATAGCAGCTCAAAAACTAAAGCTAAAAAAAAAGTATATTTTATATATATATATATATATACACACACATTTATGCATGCTATATATAAAATAGTATATAATATTTTTGCGGTCACCGAATGTAAATAATTTCGGTAGGGTAAAAGTTATCTTTGCCCTTAAATAAACTTATTCTTAATACGCTTAAGCTGAATAGACGGTAGATCTGCAAGTAAAGCAAGGACTTACAACTCCTCGAATTTACTTAGCAAAATTAATCTTAGGAATTTGAGAGAAGTGGCAAGTAAAATGAACAAGTGAATAATTTAGGTTATATTAACCAATTTATTAAAAAAAATATTCATGCTGCTCTGTTGTAAACAACCTTCATTCAAAAGCTATACTTAAAACAAACCAAGCGATATCAAACTAGTATTATTTTATCACAATTCATCTTGTAAATGAGTTTGAGTTTGACACTGTAGTGATTTAAAGGTACTAAATTTTTAACCTATGTTCCAAATTGATATTTACTTTCCGTTAGTTCTAAGCAATGGCGACCTATTGTACACATATACAGCAATTTTTTTATTTTTTATTTTAAAAAGATACGTATTATTTACACTTCTATATAAGTAACAATTTTCGCCAAGTGGTGTCGGATGACACCCCCTAGTAAAGAATGTTTCTGCTACAACAACAGACTTCAAATGTATAATACATGAAACACTACAAGTTTTAAGCAATGTCCAGTCCTTTATGAGTAAATAACATGTAGCAAAAGAAGAGTTTTTAACATGGAGCTGGCCTATAAAACCAGCTGTTTTTATTTAGCCCTTGAATTCTCCAGGTGAAACTAGTTCAACTTCAGTGTCTGGTGACTCTCTTCATAGGATATGGAGATCAACTCTGATCTATATTTATTATCTTCGTCGTCATTAACAGATTTCACTACATTCTCACAGTTGGAGTTTTCAGGTTCAGATTCAATAGAAAGATCCTTCTCTGGTTCAGAGTATGATATGGCGATTAGTGACTCCCGAGTCACTTCCTCAGAGATTTCCTTGCCAGATGCTTTCTTATCCATATAATAACTGTCTTTTTTCTGTAAAATTACAACACTGAATGAAAATAAAGATAAATAAAACATAGTAATAGACAAAACAAAAAACTGTAGTAATCAGGAATAGTAACATAGATAATATACAATAAACATGTTCACCCCCATCTTGTTCAAAGGCAGACTCAGGATTTGAAAGTGGAGGGGGCACCACTATCAAATAAAAATTTGAGCAAACGTAGGACTGGGGATCGAACCCGGGCAGCGGACTAAAAGTCAAGTTATACCCCCCAAATCGACCATTGCAGGTGCCTAAGCTTTGAATCTTAGGGTGCCTATCAAAATATATACTATACCTATTTTTTAAGAACATATATACATATATTTTTTTCGGAATTACCGGAGGCATGTGACCCCCATACCCCCTACCTTAAAGGTAGGTCCGCATCTGATCTTGATGGAGAACACAGGCAATTAAGCAACCAAGTTTCGCTGATAAGGTTGCATTCGTCTGCTAAACACCCTTACAGAAGTTCCTTCTTGTATCAATAAACCATCACATATTAATACGAGAGCAGCATTTTTTTATAGGTAACACGACACCAATTAATGCTTATTGTGTCCTCTCCAAATTCTATTAATTCACCCGCCATTACTTCAAGACCACGAATATTCTTTACTTTCTGTCTTTACCAAAACTTCATGAGGACTGAATTTCAGGAAAATATGCACTATATTTCCAACCTCTGCATGAAAAGTCAGCCTCACATGTTACCACCAGGAAGACATGACTAAACATATTAAGGGCTTTAAAAGCATTTCACATTCAATCTCTTGCTTCTTGCTATTCAGGAAATGCCAAATTATGTTACTTTTTGTTAACCACTCCTCAAGATATGAATTAGGTGAAAAGTGGGTGCGCCACTAGGCTCAACATAACAGTGCAGGGGTTGAGGAGATCGAGATAGATCATTGGGGGACAAAAGCTGTAGTTGGTTTCCGCATATGCCACCACACTTCAATTGAAGAACTAGTTCAACTGTACGACCAAAGAAGAAAAAGAAAAGGAAACATAATCTTGCATAAATAGCAAGGAGATCTGTAAATTCCAACATGACTAAGAAGTTAAGTGGCAGACTAATGTTTGCTTTAAGCCATTAAGTTTAGTGAAGCCACAACATAGGATCTCTCACAACCAGAAACCAAATTCCTCCAGCGGTCCTATCCCTTTCCGACATTTACAAAATTGCACAGACAAACTCTATGAACAACATCAGATAACCTGCCTTCTTAGCTAACAAGAGGATAAATCCCAGGGAAGATAAAGTCAAACAATCACATGTCTAATATGTAAGTAAGATGATTATGTTGATCAATCAAAGTGATCAACACTCCTGTTAGCATTCTCAAAAAACCCTATGCAAGAGAAGACACAAAAAAGGGTAACCAATTGAGTAGATAATAAATTGTATATGGTTGAAGCCTGACACACGGTCGGCCAACTATGTAGAATCCTATTGAAAGAAGTAAAGAAAAAAAGTTGCAAAGTGAAGAAACATACATAAACAACATCATATTCAGCTATGTCTCCGTAAATTATCCTAAGCTTTCACTGGCAAAAGAAAACCTGCATATTTCCTACACCTACAGTGCCTTGTGAAACAGATGGAGAAAAGGTTACTCTCAAGGAGCTACAATAAAGCAGTGGCAGATCCATACCACTAATACTTTTGTGCAACTACCACATTGGAATTTCAACTATTGCAACTATAAATTTTGATAAAGCTGCTATTTTTTCCATCCCTTGAGAAAATCTAAAAGTTTCCTCTAACTTGCAAATGTCAAAGCATTTAGGAATCAGAATACTGTTGCTGCCAAAAGTCAAACACATGGTTGGAGTGCTATGCCAAAACCACGTTGGCAAGGGTACAGCCAGCAACACATTTTCTTGTTAAAATACTAAGGCCATAACATTGCAATACATAATGTTGTAAAATGGCATGGGCTGATGCCTACCAGGGGCGAAGCTACACTTTGGTAAGGGTTCGTCGGAAAATTACGCTGCGTAAAATATTAAGTTTTAGAGGTATATAACATATGTTAACACTCTTTGTCAGAGATTTTTTTAACTTCTTTCAAGTTTGAACACCCTTGGATAAATTCCTCGCTTCGCATTGATGGCTAAAAACGACTAAGCAAGCATAAGACTAAAACAATTTCAGTTGGTAGAGCATAAACCAATATATAATTAAGTAATAGAGGGGGGAGAATAGTTAGCATATTACCCCCCATAAGAACTGCTACACTGAGGGAAAAAACATTGAAAAGATTTCTTTGCAAAAGGGGAACATTACAATACCACTGAGAACTTACATGTACATTCTGTTCTGGTCTTTCAAGCAACTTTTCATATTTAAGAAATGCCCTTAGTTCCATAATTGACTTAATCAAGAATCATCTGAAATCAAAATATGGGTAATACTCATTGACCCCTTTGACTCCATCCTTACTACAATTCATTCTTCTAATTCCAACGTAGTTGACAATTATCCAATTAAAGTACCCAACAAAAATCAAGAAAACTACCAATAAACATTTCAGAAAGAAGTCTATGGTCGTTCACAACAATCAAGATCATGAGATATAGCTCAAACAAGAAAAAGAAAAGAAAAAAAATCCCATAACGTAAAAGGGATTAATTATTACATGAAATTTAGAGAGAAAAATAGGAGAGAAATTTAGAGGGCCGTTACCGTTCTTGATTTTTAAGAAATGCTCCAAATCAGCTCCAGCACATAACTAGTCAGCACCAATTCATCGTCGTTTTATACTACGGGTCAGTGGCATCACCTGCACTTTATTTCAAATTAATTAAGACAAGTTGGAGACACGCAAGTTGCACGTTTTCTCAAATGTGGAAAAATTTTGTTCATATTCCTACCTTCATTTCTTCACATTACCAAATACACCCCTAAAAGATACAAGATTACTAGTTTTACGCTTCTAGTTTTAGACAAGACATACTTTAAAAGGCACTATACTACTTTGGTTGTTCAGTCCATGGGGTTTGGTTAATTGCCTGCCAAGTTAGGTAAGAGGTTTGTTTTTTATTTGGTGTAATACCTAATTAGACGGATGGGATTAGAAGTTCACCATCCTGTGCATTGTCTAGGCTCCTTATAATTTGTGACTGTTTGTTTCCAAAAGGCGGTAAGAAAATCTTTTCGAAAAACCTTTTCAAATTGAAATAAGTGTCAACTTTTGTAAAAACTGCAAAAGCACATATCTAGTAGGAAAAGAAAAGAAAAAGTAAAAAAAAAAATTAAGAAAAAAAAGAGAGTCCCGAACCTATTGGACTCAAAATACTGTTTTGAGTGTAAAAAAAAAATTACATTTCTATATAAAATAAAATGCTTTAGCATACCGCGTTTTACCCAATAGCTGAAAAGATAACTATATAAAACGCGGTTCAGTATCGCATTTTATATAAAATGTGGTATTAAACCGCATTTTATGTATTTTGTGGACCCACTAATAACTCTTCTGCGCTTAATTGATATAACAATAATTCAAATATGTAAAATGCCCTTCTAAATCGCGTTTTACTTCCAAAAATTTGACCCCCCGAATTGGCATTGCCTTATATAAAGGCGTTAAGGAGTTTGAGAATTATCATTCAGAAATACTCCAACTTCGTGATAAATTTTTCTTGTTAAATTCTCAAGCTTTTTCATAATGTCTGAAGAGCAAAAGTAAGGGTTTCATTATATTTGGG